GTCCGTCACACTAGTGCCAGGTCCGTCACACTAGTGCCAGGCTGTCATGTCATATGGCTCTTGTTTTGTTAAACCTTTATAAATCACAATATAAGAGCGAGAGCCCACGACGCTCTTGAAACCGGCATTTGTCTTTACAACAGAGGTACCCAACCTTTCCAGCAACCCCTTATAGTATAAGGGGTTCCGGCAACCCCTTATGCTATAAGGGGTTCCCAACCCCTTATACTATAAGGGGGTTCCCAACCCCTTATACTATAAGGGGGTTCCCAACCCCTTATACTATAATGGGGTTCCCAACCCCTTATACTATAAGGGGGTTCCCAACCCCTTATACTATAAGGGGGTTCCCAACCCCTTATACTATAAGGGGGTTCCCAACCCCTTAAACTATAAGGGGTTCCTAACCCCTTATACTAAAACTTATTTTCCCACAGATCCCCTTTTCACAGGCTTATATTATATAACAATAATTCGACTATTGTACCTGGTTACAATAACAATTGTTATTGTAACAATAACAATTGTTATTGTAACAATAACAATTGTTATTATTATAGATGGAGTGTCAACCCAGCGCTCAGCACATGTTTGGAGCACAGTGGTGGTGGTGGTTCATGAGGCTCGGCGCCCGTCTGGTGTGACCTTGGCACATAGGTTCGATCCCCCGTCCTGCCCCACAGATTTTTCTCATAGATAAGCCCGTCCACCTAAGGTTTCCCAACGCCAAGAAACCGTCGTGCTAAAGTGCCCTAATCCTAACCTACCAGAGGACCCAAAACAGAGAACGGGATAGTATGTCAATTAAAAGTATAAACTTTCATTGCCTCATCTAGCGTCTCCCTCAAGTGTCCTGTCATCTTTCTTGGTGCTAATGGTACGCTGTGAATGCAACAACCAGGGGCCAGATTCACGAAAGCACTTACGCAAGCACTTACGAACGTGTACATCTTTCCTCAATCTTTGACGGCTTTGGTTACATTTATTGAACAGTTTACAAGCATGAAAACTTGCCAATCAACTGTTGTTATTGTTATAAACAGCCTCCTGGTGCTTCGGAGCTCATTAACTGTTTAATAATTGTAAACAAAGCCGCCTAAAATTGAGAAAAGATGTACAGGTTCGTAAGTGTTTGCGTAAGTGCTTTCGTGAATCTGGCCCCAGGCCATTTGGGACGTGGTGTCACAGCTCGAATCCTTTGTACTCTCCTAATATCGCCGGAGCCCCTAATTGGTCCCTACATACGTGAACCACCCACTTTCATTTGCAACTATGAAATATATTTAAAGTATTGAAAATCGACTCACCGGTATTATGTGTTGCCAACGATTGGCAAATATAATTTTTTTCCAGTAGCCCGGGAGTAGCCAGGGAGGGCCTCGTAGCCTGGTGGATAACGCGCAGGACTCGTAATTCTGTGGCGCAGGTTCGATTCCCGCACGAGGCAGAAACAAATGGGCAAAGTTTCTTTCACCCTGAATGCCCCTGTTACCTAGCAGTAAATAGGTACCTGGGAGTTAGTCAGCTGTCACGGGCTGCTTCCTGGGGGTGGAGGCCTGGTCGAGGACCGGGCCGCGGGGACACTAAAAAGCCCCGAAATCATCTCAAGATAACCCATTTTTAACTTCAGACACGTCTTATGTTGGGGGCGTCACGGTGGTGTCTGATAATGAGATCATTATAGTTCATTGATGCAGTGTCTCCATGTATTCTCCAGGCAATTGTTTTTGCACCAGCAAACTGAATTATTTCCTCTGTTATTGTGTCTGTGTGTTTTTTATTTTTTTTTATTTTTTTGTTAACAAACTTAGGTATACACAGCAATGTGCTGCTACACTATTCTGTATGAACGATTGTAGATCAAAAACTAGCTATAAGTTCATCTAATATTACCATCTCACAGGATGATTAGCCATACATGGAATCAGGGGAGAAAATACCTACCTGGTTGATACCTGGTTGATACCTGGTTGATACCTGGTTGATACCTGGTTGATACCTGGTTGATACCTGGTTGATACCTGGTTGATACCTGGTTGATACCTGCCTCAATACAAAAACAAACCAACTCAGGCAAAAATCAGGAAAGAACATGAAGTGTAAGACTGATCTATTAGCCTCCACTAGCAAAATCTGGTTACAGCACAAGAATATCTTCCAATATTCCTGAGTGTATGAAGTAATTACAGAGCTCAAAGTACCTCATACCATTTGGTCTGAAGTCACTTATAACAGGACAATCACAGATACAGTGTTGGGGAGTATGTCCCAGCTCTTGTTCACATAGTTTACAATTGGAATGTTCACCATTGGGGGATTCATTACCTGCAGATGATACTGGAGATATCACTTGCCATAGATATCAATTCCCCAGCCTAATTCTGGGAATTATAATGTCACACTAATGGATGTTTATGTGTGTGTGTGTGTCTGTAATTCCCACCCTTGCCTACGCTTAAAATTCATAACTTTAAAAGAAATAGTTTAGGTATTACAGATGAAAAGTAAACAATTTAATATATATATATTTGAGCTTCTGCCTCACACGCGTGGGGTCCAGGGTTCGAGGCTCCCAGAGCCCAGGTGAATGAAAAGTTCTTACATTCTTGAAAGGAAAGCGTTGATTACAAACTGGTTCGTTTAATGAGGTCAATATCATAAATGGGATCTTCATCGAGTCCTCGACCCCAGTCGTTATCATTCTTTTATTCCTGCGCTGAGTGTAAACATGAACTGAACTGGTAGTGGACATGTCATGTTGTGGGGAACACCTTAAACAGGAAGCTGCCTTAACTGAACATATCTTTGACAGGAAGCAGCCTTAACTGAACATATCTTTGACAGGAAGCAGCCTTAACTGAACATATCTTTGACAGGAAGCTGCCTTAACTGAACATATCTTTGACAGGAAGCAGCCTTAACTGAACATATCTTTGACAGGGAGCAGCCTTAACTGAACACATCTTTAACAGGAATTTAAGCAGTATTAACAGAAAGCTTCGGAAACGTGTTTACTGGAAGTAAACAACCTTAGCAGACAATAGCCTCAACAGAAAACAAGAAACATCTCTAACAGGAAGAAAACAGCCTTAAAAACAAAATATATTTAATAGAAAGGCACCAAAGAACCTTTAAAGAAAACATCCTTACCAGGAAGCAGCCTTAACTGGCAAGAGACACAATATAAAATAGTCTCGAGTGAAAGTTTGTTCTTTAGAAACCGGGCCGCGCGGAGTATTAAGTTGGAACTGAATGTATTTGTGAAAGTTGAAGGGACTACTCTCACTTTTAACTCAGGCCCGCCCATCCCACCAACTTCCCAGGGTGCGGAACTTACTAATTGTTTTATTTTCCTCGTTGGCTTTTGCTATATCTTTTAAAGATTTCTCGAATCACAGCCAGTGAGGGAATTAGAGAACGGGAAGTGGGTCGTCTAGGAGAAGGGAAGACTATTACATATGAATATCATTCTTATAGTAATAATAATTGATAATAATACACAGGGAAATCACAATAACTGTGAACAGTATCAAGGAGAAAATACACACACACACACACATATACATATGTAATAATACACATACATATAAGATCCACAAAATCATAGGTTTACTGTATTAAACACAAAGAGACATTTTTGTGTTTCCTCTCTTTTTTTTTCTCTTCTATTTTACATTTTAAATTATATTGTATTGATATTTTTGTTATGAACAGGAAGATTGAATACCTTTGAATACAAATTTGAAAAAGAGAGAGAGAGGGGGGGAGCCTAGTAAGTACTCACCTAATAATGTGCCAACATGTGATTAGTTGATCAACTAATCACTAATGTGCCAACAAAGTGCCAACTTTGTGAAGGCCTAGTGTGGCGAGTCGGTATAGAGGCGAGAAGCCTATTGCGATAAACTTTAGGAAGCGCTGCTGCTGCTGCTGGAGGCGAGGGAGTGGTGCTCAGCACTGGGGTCAATCAGCAGGTGAGGCGAGTTAATCTAATGCTCACAGGAATTCCCAGATGTTTTCTGTCAAATTGACTGAAATCTGCGAGCAGATACAGAAATTCTTTTTTAGATTTGAACGCGGTGAATTTGAGGCTATTTGAATGGTTTTAAGTAAATCAAAGGAAGCAGCCTAGTAATGAAATAATGAGTATTTTTGTATTAAATATTTTTAGGACAAGGGTGTATGCGAGGATTGTTTGAGAAGAGAATAAGTACAATAATCAACCTGCAAGCAATAGGTGAGTCCCTGATTTCCCGCCAAGTTTAGCCGCTCTTTATTTCTCTTGGATTTCTTTTGTTGATACAAACGTGACTTTGTCTCTTATTTCCTCTCTTGTCTCTCATAATTGTTTCACATCGTTGTTTCCTTCTGCCTAAATCTTGCACTTTCTGTTTCAAACTCTTTTAAGTTTTCTGCGCAAGTCTTGATCATTTGTTGTAAAGCGTTGCGACTTTGTTTAATATGAGCGGCCAATTGGCACTGAAAAACATAATTTAAGGATTGTATTGTTTATCTCTAGCGTGAACAGTTGACTGTTTATCTCTGAATATTCGTACATGTCCTTTCAAATTTGAATAGTGGTTTACTTAGTTTAAGAACAAAATAAGTACAACCCTTGCGCCAGATATATTTATTATTTAAACTGCAGAAATCTATATCAAACTTTGACTGGAGGTCTGTTCTTCAGTTACGTATCCTTGTGGACCGAATAGATAAGACTAGGAAATAGTTGAGAATAGTTAGAGATGAGCTTGTGTTATGGGCCTGTTCATTACCTGTGGTGTATGGGATAGTGCCTTCATACTGGCCCGTGTTCGAGCCCTCGGCAGATAGGGTCGACTGGGTACCGCTGTTCACTAATCGGTAATTGAAGACCTGGTTGTAAACCGACTGGCGGATCATGTTCTAGGGAGTACTAGTAGGGTAAGGCGTAAGATGAGCTCTGAGCCTGTTAACACGAGTCACAAGCTGTATACTCTTGTATCCACCTCAAAAAATAGTCAAAACATGAACCAGACTTCGGAGAAGCGGTTTGTGAGGTTAAGCTGCGTTGACACCATATTAGTGTTGGTGTTGCCATATCTAGGCTGCGTCGACACTATATTAGTGTTGGTGTTGCCATCTCTAGGCTGCGTTGACACCATATTAGTGTTGGTGTTGCCATATCTAGGCTGCGTCGACACTATATTAGTGTTGGTGTTGCCATCTCTAGGCTGCGTCGACACTATATTAGTGTTGGTGTTGCCATCTCTAGGCTGCGTCGACACTATATTAGTGTTGGTGTTGCCATATCTAGGCTGCGTCGACACTATATTAGTGTTGGTGTTGCCATCTCTAGGCTGCGTCGACACTATATTAGTGTTGGTGTTGCCATCTCTAGGCTGCGTCGACACTATATTAGTGTTGGTGTTGCCATCTCTAGGCTGCGTCGACACTATATTAGTGTTGGTGTTGCCATCTCTAGGCTGCGTCGACACTATATTAGTGTTGGTGTTCCCATATCTAGGCTGCGTCGACACTATATTAGTGTTGGTGTTGCCATATCTAGGCTGCGTCGACACTATATTAGTGTTGGTGTTGCCATCTCTAGGCTGCGTCGACACTATATTAGTGTTGGTGTTGCCATATCTAGGCTGCGTCGACACTATATTAGTGTTGGTGTTGCCATATCTAGGCTGCGTCGACACTATATTAGTGTTGGTGTTGCCATCTCTAGGCTGCGTCGACACTATATTAGTGTTGGTGTTGCCATCTCTAGGCTGCGTCGACACTATATTAGTGTTGGTGTTGCCATATCTAGGCTGTGTCGACACTATATTAGTGTTGGTGTTGCCATATCTAGGCTGTGTCGACACTATATTAGTGTTGGTGTTGCCATATCTAGGCTGTGTCGACACTATATTAGTGTTGGTGTTGCCATATCTAGGCTGTGTCGACACTATATTAGTGTTGGTGTTGCCATATCTAGGCTGTGTCGACACTATATTAGTGTTGGTGTTGCCATCTCTAGGCTGTGTCGACACTATATTAGTGTTGGTGTTGCCATATCTAGGCTGTGTCGACACTATATTAGTGTTGGTGTTGCCATATCTAGGCTGTGTCGACACTATATTAGTGTTGGTGTTGCCATATCTAGGCTGTGTCGACACTATATTAGTGTTGGTGTTGCCATATCTAGGCTGTGTCGACACTATATTAGTGTTGGTGTTGCCATATCTAGGCTGCGTCGACACTATATTAGTGTTGGTGTTGCCATATCTAGGCTGCGTCGACACTATATTAGTGTTGGTGTTGCCATCTCTAGGCTGCGTCGACACTATATTAGTGTTGGTGTTGCCATCTCTAGGCTGTGTCGACACTATATTAGTGTTGGTGTTGCCATATCTAGGCTGTGTCGACACTATATTAGTGTTGGTGTTGCCATATCTAGGCTGTGTCGACACTATATTAGTGTTGGTGTTGCCATATCTAGGCTGCGTCGACACTATATTAGTGTTGGTGTTGCCATATCTAGGCTGCGTCGACACTATATTAGTGTTGGTGTTGCCATATCTAGGCTGCGTCGACACTATATTAGTGTTGGTGTTGCCATATCTAGGCTGCGTCGACACTATATTAGTGTTGGTGTTGCCATATCTAGGCTGCGTCGACACTATATTAGTGTTGGTGTTGCCATCTCTAGGCTGTGTCGACACTATATTAGTGTTGGTGTTGCCATATCTAGGCTGTGTCGACACTATATTAGTGTTGGTGTTGCCATCTCTAGGCTGTGTCGACACTATATTAGTGTTGGTGTTGCCATCTCTAGGCTGCGTCGACACTATATTAGTGTTGGTGTTGCCATCTCTAGGCTGCGTCGACACTATATTAGTGTTGGTGTTGCCATATCTAGGCTGCGTCGACACTATATTAGTGTTGGTGTTGCCATCTCTAGGCTGCGTCGACACTATATTAGTGTTGGTGTTGCCATATCTAGGCTGCGTCGACACTATATTAGTGTTGGTGTTGCCATCTCTAGGCTGAGTCGACACTATATTAGTGTTGGTGTTGCCATCTCTAGGCTGCGTCGACACTATATTAGTGTTGGTGTTGCCATCTCTAGGCTGCGTCGACACTATATTTGTGTTGGTGTTGCCATATCTAGGCTGCGTCGACACTATATTAGTGTTGGTGTTGCCATATCTAGGCTGCGTCGACACTATATTAGTGTTGGTGTTGCCATATCTAGGCTGTGTCGACACTATATTAGTGTTGGTGTTGCCATCTCTAGGCTGCGTCGACACTATATTAGTGTTGGTGTTGCCATCTCTAGGCTGCGTCGACACTATATTAGTGTTGGTGTTGCCATATCTAGGCTGCGTCGTCGACATACGCTGCTGTAGTGCTTCCTGGAAGCACTGTGTTGCGTCTTACTCTACAACAGTCTACGATGGACGAGGTCATTTACGCTCCAGACAGAACCAGTGTTACTCTGGCTCTTTTCATTCCCAGATAATATATTAGTATGACTCGAGTCATAAGATGGCAGTGAATGGCCTTGATGTAAAACCCAAGAAGGGTTCGGCATGAGGGAGGCCCGCACCAGGCCTGGTGAGCCATACTTGACGGGTTAACACAACTCATTATCGCCTCATCACCAATAACAGACAGGGGTAAGCATTTACATAGTGAACTAAAGGAAAATATAAATTTACCCCTGGGTTCTTGGTGTGGGGATACGGCTGTGTGGTCCTGGTAGTCTTCTCTTGCTTCAGTACACTGGTGGTGCTCCTGCTACACCTCTGCTACACCTTAATCTTCGTCTAAACTGTCCATAACATTTGTTCTATAACTACAATTCAATTTGATGTAGTTTCTAGTGCACTATAACCTGGCCGCTCAGTTATTGAGGTTTACCAGTGATTTGGGTCTTGGGCGAACCCTCTGAAGCTGTTCTGATGTAGTCTTCATGGCTATGCAGGCGATGAGTCACAATAACGTGGCTGAAGTATGTTGACCAGACCACACACTAGAAGGTGAAGGGACGACGACGGTTCGGTCCGTCCTGGACCATTCTCAACTCCAACAGGCTATAAGTGTCAGACCAAGAGTCAACACGAGACCTCTTGTTAGTCTCCTACGCCTCAATTAATCAAGCAGTGAGGAAGAACTCGCCAAGAACGAGATGAGCAACAAAGTCTCTTAATTTATTTTTTACTTTTGATCCAATAAAATGGGGACAACTATTAATATATATAAATAGTTTACATATAATATGCTGGAGTAAAGTACCAAAGCAACATTGTATCTTGAACTGTAACCAAACCACCCAGCTCAGGACCTTCCCCTTTTGTGTCACGTGTCACTGTTCAACACTCAAAAGCAACATTGTGTCACTGTTCAACACTCAAAAGCAACGTTGTGTCACTGTTCAACACTCAAAAGCAACATTGTGTCACTGTTCAATACTCAAAAGCAACATTGTGTCACTGTTCAACACTCAAAAGCAACATTGTGTCACTGTTCAATACTCAAAAGCAACATTGTGTCACTGTTCAACACTCAAAAGCAACATTGTGTCACTGTTCAATACTCAAAAGCAACATTGTGTCACTGTTCAACACTCAAAAGCAACATTGTGTCACTGTTCAATACTCAAAAGCAACATTGTGTCACTGTTCAATACTCAAAAGCAACATTGTGTCACTGTTCAACACTCAAAAGCAACATTGCGTCACTGTTCAACACTCAAAAGCAACATTGTGTCACTGTTCAATACTCAAAAGCAACATTGTGTCACTGTTCAACACTCAAAAGCAACATTGTGTCACTGTTCAATACTCAAAAGCAACATTGTGTCACTGTTCAATACTCAAAAGCAACATTGTGTCACTGTTCAACACTCAAAAGCAACATTGTGTCACTGTTCAACACTCAAAAGCAACATTGTGTCACTGTTCAATACTCAAAAGCAACATTGTGTCACTGTTCAACACTCAAAAGCAACATTGTGTCACTGTTCAACGCTCAAAAGCAACATTGTGTCACTGTTCAACGCTCAAAAGCAACATTGTGTCACTGTTCAATACTCAAAAGCAACGTTGTGTCACTGTTCAACACTCAAAAGCAACGTTGTGTCACTGTTCAACACTCAAAAGCAACATTGTGTCACTGTTCAACACTCAAAAGCAACATTGTGTCACTGTTCAACACTCAAAAGCAACGTTGTGTCACTGTTCAACACTCAAAAGCAACATTGTGTCACTGTTCAACACTCAAAAGCAACATTGTGTCACTGTTCAACGCTCAAAAGCAACATTGTGTCACTGTTTAATACTCAAAAGCAACATTGTGTCACTGTTCAACACTCAAAAGCAACGTTGTGTCACTGTTCAACACTCAAAAGCAACATTGTGTCACTGTTCAACACTCAAAAGCAACATTGTGTCACTGTTCAACGCTCAAAAGCAACATTGTGTCACTGTTCAATACTCAAAAGCAACATTGTGTCACTGTTCAATACTCAAAAGCAACATTGTGTCACTGTTCAACACTCAAAAGCAACATTGTGTCACTGTTCAACACTCAAAAGCAACATTGTGTCACTGTTCAATACTCAAAAGCAACATTGTGTCACTGTTCAACACTCAAAAGCAACATTGTGTCACTGTTCAACGCTCAAAAGCAACATTGTGTCACTGTTCAACGCTCAAAAGCAACATTGTGTCACTGTTCAATACTCAAAAGCAACATTGTGTCACTGTTCAACACTCAAAAGCAACGTTGTGTCACTGTTCAACACTCAAAAGCAACATTGTGTCACTGTTCAACACTCAAAAGCAACATTGTGTCACTGTTCAACACTCAAAAGCAACGTTGTGTCACTGTTCAACACTCAAAAGCAACATTGTGTCACTGTTCAACACTCAAAAGCAACATTGTGTCACTGTTCAACGCTCAAAAGCAACATTGTGTCACTGTTTAATACTCAAAAGCAACATTGTGTCACTGTTCAACACTCAAAAGCAACGTTGTGTCACTGTTCAACACTCAAAAGCAACATTGTGTCACTGTTCAACACTCAAAAGCAACATTGTGTCACTGTTCAACGCTCAAAAGCAACATTGTGTCACTGTTTAATACTCAAAAGCAACATTGTGTCACTGTTCAACACTCAAAAGCAACGTTGTGTCACTGTTCAACACTCAAAAGCAACATTGTGTCACTGTTCAACGCTCAAAAGCAACATTGTGTCACTGTTCAACGCTCAAAAGCAACATTGTGTCACTGTTTAATACTCAAAAGCAACATTGTGTCACTGTTCAACACTCAAAAGCAACATTGTGTCACTGTTCAATACTCAAAAGCAACATTGTGTCACTGTTCAACACTCAAAAGCAACATTGTGTCACTGTTCAACACTCAAAAGCAACGTTGTGTCACTGTTCAACACTCAAAAGCAACGTTGTGTCACTGTTCAACACTCAAAAGCAACGTTGTGTCACTGTTCAACACTCAAAAGCAACATCGTGTCACTGTTCAACACTCAAAAGCAACATTGTGTCACTGTTCAACACTCAAAAGCAACGTTGTGTCACTGTTCAACACTCAAAAGCAACATCGTGTCACTGTTCAACACTCAAAAGCAACGTTGTGTCACTGTTCAACACTCAAAAGCAACGTTGTGTCACTGTTCAAATTCTTACATATTGCCTTGTAGGTCTTGTGGACTCCGTATAAGATCTCATCCATGCCCGGGTAATTGCTAGGTGCCTCTCCTGGCTCCAGGTACCTCGGTTATAAACACGGCGACTAGGGAACCCACCTTATCGCCCACCTGCAGTCTCACAAGGTGGGTTCCCCGCCACCACCAACCCACTTCCACGCCCTGTGACGTATGACACTACCTGATTATACGTCCCTGGAGCCTCTGGCATTACGGGATTCATAGAGAGGCGGCTCCCAGTGGGACGCCCAGAGCGCTAATGTCGTGATCATAGCTCGGCCCGGGGAAGAAATTAGCCAAGGGGAACGATTGGGTGGGAAGCACTCTGCGAATATCTGCCTCCGGATCACGGTTATTAGTTTATCAGGTATTGATTGATGCACGAATACCTCAGACATACACCATAATACATTTATACATGTCTTTCTTCTGGTTTAGAAATGCAGAGCATTGGGTGGTTATAAATAGGAGATGCCTCGTATGGGCCAATAGGCCTTCTGCAGTTACCTTTTTTCTTATGTTCTTATATTCTTATGTAATGTTGACTAACCGAGTTTAAACATCTCAACTACTTGCTATGTTGGCTTTGAAGGCGTTAGTACCATCTGGTACATTAACAAAGTCATAATTACTCTACTAATTATCTATTCTCTACAAATCAATTAAATTTGTTTGTGAATAACTTCAAGTTGCATGAATTGTATTATGAGTTATGTGGATAATTCTCTCCCAAAAGCGTTACAGCGGAGCCCAGACTGGTTACAGCGTTCGTGCTGTAACCAGGTCAGAGCCAAGGATACTGAAAAGCAATTACAATAAACTATTGCATTACTGTATTTTCATCCAGATGTGCCATCGTCAGTTTAATGACTACAGCATTAGCAGAAGTTCCATTATTGGCTGGAGAGCCTTAATGAGGCAATATAATAGAGCCAGGTGACAGGCGCCACATTCTTTAACAATACACGGGCTAGACAGAGGAGCAGAGCTGCGCGCTCTTTTTGTTAAGACTTATGTTATTGTGACTTATGATGGGATTATCCGCCGTAATCCTCAGTCGCAGGTGTGGTTCATGTGTGTGTTGGTGAGAGACACTGTGGCAGTGTTGGCAGACCCTGAGTGGCCAGGACCCTGAGTGGCCAGGACCTTGAGTGGCCAGGACCCTGAGTGGCCAGGACCCTGAGTGGCCAGGACCCTGAGTGGCCAGGACCTTGAGTGGCCAGGACCCTGAGTGGCCAGGACCCTGAGTGGTCAGGACCCTGAGTGGCCAGGACCCTGAGTGGCCAGGACCCTGAGTGGCCAGGACTCTGAGTGGCCAGGACCCTGAGTGGCCAGGACCCTGAGTGGCCAGGACCCTGAGTGGCCAGGACCCTGAGTGGCCAGGACTCTGAGTGGCCAGGACCCTGAGTGGCCAGGATCCTGAGTGGCCAGGACCCTGAGTGGCCAGGACCCTGAGTGGCCACGACCCTGAGTGGCCACGACCCTGAGTGGCCACGACCCTGAGTGGCCACGACCCTGAGTGGCCAGGACCCTGAGTGGCCAGGACCCTGAGTGGCCAGGACCCTGAGTGGCCAAGACCCTGAGTGACCAGGACCCTGAGTGGCCAGGACCCTGAGTGGCCAGGACCCTGAGTGGCCAGGACCCTGAGTGGCCAGGACCCTGTGT